AAATTACTGCTTTAGAAACACAAAAACACTGCTTTAAAAATACAAATTCACTGCTTTAAAAAAAAATTCACTGCTTTAAAGCAATATAGTGGAGTCCCCCCGCAGGGAGGGCGGAATCCACTGCATCCACGCATACACTTTTAACGTAGAAGTAATATGCGTGGATACAGTATGTTCCGCTCCCTCAGTCCCTCTATGATTGTACTGTTGCTGTAAAAACAATAATTCGCTACTTTAAAAACAATAGTGGAATCTCCCCGCAGGAGGGGTGAAACTTATTGCATCCACGCATGTTATATGTACGTTATAAATCTCCTGCGGGGAGATTCCACTATTGTTTTTAAAGTAGCGAATTGTTGTTTTTACAGCAACAGTACAATCATAGAGGGACTGAGGGAGCGGAACATACTGTATCCACGCATATTACTTCTACGTTAAAAGTGTATGCGTGGATGCAGTGGGTTCTGCCTCCCCTGTGGGGGGGCTCCACTATTGTTTTAAATTGAATTGTTTATTAAAGCAGTGAATTTGTATTTTTAAAGCAGTGTTTTTGTGTTTTTAAAGCAGTAATTTTGTTATTTTTAAAGCAGTGACAGATATCTTAACCTCTAAAATCTTGAACTTTAACGCTTAATATCTCGGTTCACGAGGTCGAGCGCCACAAATTTCTTCCGGATTCTTTCATTTTGAGTGAAAACGCGTCGAATGAGCCTAGTGGTTTCGTATAGAGACCTAGAAAACAGAGATGCGTCATTGAAGGGTATGGCTTGATTGGCTGTCTAAATCACGTGGTCAGAGAGCCATATTAATTCACTATTGCATCTAATAGATATAGTTTTATAACGTATGTACATATATATATATAGAGAAAAATTTAGACAATACAGTGTCGAAGTGCAATAAAAAACTATTATTATGGTGTAAGTATTCTTATTTGTGTGAATATTTAATATCGGATTTAACCTAACCTAATCTAATCTTTCTACCTTTTGCATCAACTGTCATCAGCTTATTGGTCAAGAGCACTTATATTGAATTCAAATGGCGGTGGTTACCTAACTCAACCGACGCAATGTCGCATCTCTGCTTTCTAGGCCTCTAGTTTCGTATTCTTGAAAGAAATTAATTTACATAAATGTTTTATTTTAATGTGTAATTTGTAAACAACAACTGTTACCGAATAAAGAGGTTATAAAATTCATTGTTTGATACTAAATTGCATTTGCGTAAAGACTTTCATTACTATTTGATTATGATTTGACCAAATTTCAATGATTGATCAAAATGAAATATGATCCCAACATTCGATCCATATTTCTACTGAACATACCTATTTATTTATATCGTTATCTTCTATTAATGGAATATTCCAATTTTCCTCCAATGGTTTTTTTTCAGAATTTGACTAAACTTAATAATTTTATACTTGTCGAAACCTTTATTTAATAAATTATAATATTTAATAATTTTACATTTCATCTTTTAAGAAATTTATTTCTTTTCACCGACTAGACATGTTAACAATTTTAAATTCCCGCCTTCAAAACCCGGGATTTCTGATTGGCCGCCCCTTCCCCAAAATGCGTATTGCTATACCTTACTT